AGGCTGCAGGGGGCAGAAAGAATGAAAGGGGGGCGCAATGAGAAGGAAGAAGAGGGGCAGCAACCGCGCGCCGACAGGCCGGGTCAGGGCACGGGAGAGAGGGGCCGCGCGCGACGAGGCCGCGGGCCCTGCGGCGGCGACGCCGAGCAGGCGGCGCAGGCGCAGCGGCGGGGTGGGCGGCGGGCGTCGGGGGGGGGGTTCGTTCGCAACCGTCGGGGGGGGGCCGTCGGGGTCGTCGGGGAGCGGCGCGGGGCGGCCGACCGAGCCCAGCGCGCTGCGGCTCGGCGGGGGGGGGGGGGCCTCGCGGGATCGCCCCCGATGGGGAAGGGCCGGGCGGCGCGCGCGAAGAGGGGCGAGGGCCGCCGGCGCAGCGCTGGCGGAAGGGCGCGGGCGGCGCCCGCGCTGCCCTGCAAGCGCGGGGGGGGCGGGCGGCGGGCGCGGGGCGGCGCCGGGGGTGCCTTGCGCGGCGTCCGCCGCGGAGGCAGCCGCGGCCGCGGCTGGACAGGCCGCTGCCGCCCCCGCCCCTCTGCGCTGCGTCTGGAGGCGCCGCGGCGCCGCCCGCGCGTTCTCTCCGTGCAAGGAAACAAAAAATTGCCGGGCGCGTTGGTCCGGAACTGCTGCGGCGTCCTTCCCCGCGGCGTCAGCCGCCCGCATGGCTGGGGCCCATTCCCCCTCTCTCATGGTAGACAATTTTTCTCCCTCCCTCCCTCCCTCAACTTGCCTCTGTCTCTGCCCCCTCCCCCTGGCCCCCCCGCCCTTCTGCCCCCGTCCCTCGCTCGATCTCCCCCATCTTCCCCTGCGTGGCCCGCGCCCTGCATCGGCACTGCGTGGAACTCGCTCGGGTCCTGGCGCGCCAGATGCAAGCCTGGCGAGCTCGGTGCACGTCGGGCCCCGACGCCCCACGGCGGGCTGCAGCCTTTTTGCCTGGCCCCAAACCGCAGCCCGCCCCCTACTTGCGCTTCGTGCATCTTGCGCCCCTGAAGTGCCCCGGTCTCCTCCAAAACACCTCGGGTGGCCACCCCTCGCGCGCGCCGGCAGGGGCGTCGCGCCGAAATCCCCGCTTGCTCGCGGCGCGAGCAGCCACTTCGCGCGACTTCGACGTGGGTCCTGGGCAGCCGCGCCAGCGCCAAGACCTGCGCGGCGCTCCGCCTCTGCCCGCAATTCCCTCGCCGCGGCCGCCATCGTCTTCTCCCATTTCCGCAGCGTGCATATCGTCATTTTGCAGGCCGACCTCGGCTCCCCCACGCCGCGCGTTCGCCGGCGCCGCGACGAGAAAAGACTACCTCTCCCTGCCGCTTGCGCTCCGCCTCCTCGCCCCCGTGCCTTGTGTTGCCGGATCTTGTCCGACCCAGGCGGGGGGCCGGACGCGTCGCCCAATTCCGCCAACCCCTGCCGCCGGCGCCATGGCAGCGCGCCTCCGAACTCGACGCCGCCGCGGCGCAGCGCGGCGCTTGTGTCGCCGCCCTGTCGAGGGCAATCTCCGATTGGCGCCTCGCAGCCTGCGACGACCTCGCCGACCTCGCAGTTGGGCGCCTCGACCAGCTGCGCTGGGGGCGCCGGGCCCGCCTTGATGAGCTCCTCGGCGATTTTGCCTGCACCTGCGCGCGCGGCAAGGTGAGTCGGACCTGGGCGCGCTCGGCGAGACGCATCTGAGTGGGCGGGCCCAGGCCTGGACGCAGCCGCCCCGCCCGCCACCCGCCGGCGCGGCAAGCGCTGAGGGCGCCGCCCCGCGCGTGGCCCGGGGCGCCAGTCGCTGGGGCATGCCGATGGCCGCGAACGCCGCCCGCGCCGAGAAGGGCGACAGCTGCGCCAGCTGCGTCTCTCGCGCGCGGAGGCCGAGGCGCTCTGGGCTCGGATTCGCCGCCGAGACGCGTCGCTAGCGCTTTGCCTGCTGGGGCCGACGAACCCGCGCCTCGCGCGCGCGGCAGTGGCCATCTCCATTTTCCGCAGTGCGCCCAAGGGCGCCGAGCTGCAGCCCGGCCACGTCGACGGTGTCGTCTACCAGCCAAGCTCGGAAGAGGTGCGCTGCCTCCAGCGCGCCGCCGAGGTCAGGCTCGACACCGCCAAGGCAGCCATGTGGATGCGCTAGCTTTTCACGTCGCCATCGCGACGCCCGCGCTGCAAATCCCGTTCATCGAACAGCTACGAGACGCCGCCTCCATCAACGTGGGCCACCCCTAGCAGCGGGGGGGGGGGCCGAAGCAGACCGACGCCGCCCGGCGGTGAAACGCCGCGAACAAGATCGGCGAGAAGCATGTCCTGGGCGACAAGACGCCGCGCAAATCATCTTCCAAACAAGTTCATCGCAGCGCAGCGTCGCGGGGGCGCCCGCGATTCTGACGTCCCACAGCGCCGTGGCAGGTGGGCGCAGCCTCGACGCGATCTTCGGCGCCGCTCCGCAATGTGCCAGCGCGGCTCTCGCCAAGTCATGCATGCGGGCGCCACTCCCGACCTGAATTTTCGCGGTGGCGCACCGCCTGACGGCCCCGGCGAAGGACCACTATATCGTCTGGCGCCAGGGAGGGGCCACTGGCCACCCTCGTGGATGCCCATGCCAAAGCCCAGCCCAGCCAATCTCACGGCGCCAGGGCACTGCTGTGGCCGATGCGGTCGTTCTCGACATCCGCGGCGCGGGAGCCGGTTTAGCTCGCGCTAAATGCCGCCCAGTGGGGATCCACTAGCAGGTGGCCGCTGAGACCCATGTCGAAGTCTTGCTAGGCCTGGCGAGCGGGGAGGCCGAAGTCACCGGCCAGCGCCCCGCGAGCGAATCTCGCCTCGCCATCGCGAGAGCAGTCAAGCCGGCACCGACCGCGACGTTTACCGTCCATGGGCGCCGGCAGCCGTGGACCATTACACCGCTCGACAAGGCCAATGCGCCCGAAGTCAAGGACGCCACGGCGACCGTCGTTTCGGCCGGGGCGCTGCAGATCGCGGCCCGCCATCGGCGCCCGCGCCAGGATCGCCGGATGCGCGGGCGGAAGCTGGACCTTAAAAAAAAAGAACAAGCCACCCTCTCGTGCGCGGGCCACATTCTCCGTGACTCCACGCTCTCCTGCACGGGCCCATCGAAGCCCCCGCTGAAACTCTCGCGGCGAGAGCTGACAGCACCCGCGACGCCCGCGGTTTCAGCTGCGACGCCGCCGCCCCGCTTCCCCGCGCCCGCCGAACGAGGACGAGAATCCGCCCAGAGAAGAGCGCGGAGAGGACCTCGGGGAAGACTTCTGGGACCCCGTCGGCAACTGGGCCGACTGCTGCAGCGGTGGCCCGTACGAAAGGCTCACCGACTTCGATTCACGGCGCCTCAGCACTAGTGGACTCTGTCAGACGCCTGCAAGCGGAGCTCCAACACTAGCTGGCCAGGACCGACTCCCTGGCTGAAGCGGCCTCCGAAATCGAGACCAGGCTCGCGGCCCAAGGCCAGCGCATTGCCTTCCAGCGGGTGCAGACCGAGTCGGGTTTCGCCCGCGTCGTAGCCCAACTTGCCGTCATGCAGAGCGCGCCCCGCGCTGCACCGGCGGGCGCTGCGTTCGCCGCCGCGCGCCCCAGCAGCGGCGCCGCCCTCGGCCCCCGCGGCCGACGCCGAGGTGGCGCCGCGGTGCCGCCGCAGCCAGCCGAGGCGTCGCGAGAGAAGGGGGCCCAGTGGGGCCTGCGGGCAAGGGCAGCTCCTAAACCATCTCTCATCAATCCATCCCGAATGGATTTTGGCTCTGCCGTGTTTCTGCAACCTTGCGTGCCCTGTCCTTCTGTACATCTGTCCTCTATGTTCTTCTGTCCTGAGGGGCCCGGGCCCTGGCCTCAGGCGACCACTGGCCCTGTCCCAGGGCAAGTCCTGACCATGATCTTGAAGCGAATCCGGCCGTGGCGACGACAGCCCCCCCCCCAAAATGCTCACAGCCAGTGCAGAATAGGGGAACTCCCCCCCTCGGCCTTCATCGCACCCTCCATCTCCTCCCTCAGCGCCACTCTGGCCCTCCCTCTCGCCTCCGCCTCGTGGCACCATCCTCCCCTGTAGGCGCGAGCTGAGCGTGTGAGAGGCTCGTTAGACCCCCCCTTCCATGATCGCGCCCCAATGCAGCAATACCCTACGCCTCCCTGGCGCTGATGATGATGATGATGCTGCTGATGATGATGATGATGATAGTAATAATAATGATGATGATTATGATGATGATGCTGATGATGATGATAGTAACAATAATGATGATGATGATTATGATGATGATGATGCTGATGCTGATGATGATGATGATGCTGCTGCTGATGATGATAATACTGCTGATGCTGATGCTGATGCTGCTGCTGATGATGCTGATGATGATGATGATGATGATGCTGATGCTGATGCTGATGCTGATGATGATGATGATGATGCTGATGCTGATGATGATGATGATGATGATGATGATGATGATGATGATGATGATGATGATGGCGGTGGTGAGGAACATGAGGAGAGACCAAGAGACATAGCTAGGTGTTGACGTAGTCGCAGCACGGGGGGTAATTCGCCCGACACGATCTCTCTGACACGCTCCATCCCTTGTTCCGCGCAAGCCCGATCGACCTCCCTGCCAGTCGAAGCGCGGGCCCGGGAAAACCTTTCGCATCGGAGGCCGCAGCGACCCAGTGGCTCGTCAAGGGAGGGCGGTGCTGGCAGGCGTGCCCGCGAATGGACCAAGCCGCCGAACTTCGCGTTCTCGCGCCGCCCCTGGAGAAACGCGTCCCTCTTGTCCAGACTGCGAGGCGAAAGTGCTTTCGCGCCCCTGCGGGTGACCGTGGGCAATGGCGAAGGCGCCCGCGAGCCAAGGGGCGGAGCTCGGGTGCACCTCGACCCCGCCGTGCGCTCGAAACTGCAGGGAGCGAGGGTGGGCGCTGCCGAGCTCCCTAGAGGTGTCGGAGGCTCTCCCAGGCGCCTGCGGGCCAGCAGGCAGGCCCCGACCGTCCCAAAACATCGATGTTCGATCCTCTCCAGCCCAAAAGGCGGTGCGATGCGGCTGGACCGCGTGGCGAAGTCCATCATCAGCTTCGCGTACTCGTCCGGCACGATGGTTTCCTGGATCGCCACCGTGACCTGCGTGCGCGGTCGCCCGCGTGGGCCAGCGGCGATCTAAGAAGAGGAGCAGAACCACGAGGAGGATGGAAAAGGGGGAGCCGGAGCTGCTAGCTGCCTTCGATCCTCGAGGATCAAGTTGCTCGGATGTTTCTTGACCGCCAGGCTTCCAGACAGAGAAGGAACAAGAGGAGGAGGAGGAGGAGGAGGAGGAGGAGGAGGAGGGAAAGGAGGAGGAGGAGGAGGGAAAGGAGGAGGAGGAGGAAGAGGAGGAGCAGGAGGAGGAAGCAGCAAGGCGAGAAGCAGGAGGTGGACGGGGATGGAGGCAGAAGGTTCGGGGGAAGCTGCGGTCAGGCCGAGGAAGCGTTGCGCGGGCGTCGCGGGTCCTCCCTGGGCTGCAGGCGCTGCAGCGGCCGCGCTTCCAGAAGGAACGCCGAACCAGGAACGACGGGGCTTTTCTGGCCACGGCGAACCTCGGCCCGACCTCGACCTGAAATCGGACCTGGGCCAGATCCCTCACGAGCACGAGACCCTTCGCCGGCCAGAACACACACAACCTCCGAGGGCACCCCCTTCAGGGTGCACCAGAACGCCCAGCAGACACGAAGAACATGGGGGCATCCTCCCCGAACCGACCTCGATCTCATACCTCGGTCCGACTGCAAGGCACGCCCCGAAAATCTGGGCCCCTCCTGGGCCCGAAGCGTTCCCTGTTTCCGCGGCTTGACTGTGCACGCAGACCTGACTCTGAGGTCCGAGCCCGCACCGGTGCCCTCCCTGCAGGAACAGGCCGCCTCTTTGGCCTTCGGCTCCTGCGGCTGACCCAACCCTCGTGTGCCGCTCTGGGCCGCCTTCTGGGCCCTCAGCTCTCACAGCTGCCCTCGCGCAGGCCTGCGCGGGCACTGCTCGAGCTCGTGGCAGATCCTATCTGCGCCCTGCAGATCGCGCTTCCTTGCTATATCTCAGCTGCTCATCTCAGCGGTGCATCACGCCGCAGCTTAGCAACCTGACTCCGAAAACACTGAGGACCTTTTCCTAGCACGGACTCGCCATGCACCGCAAGTGTTTCCTGTCTCTCGTCAACCTCTGCCGCTTGCGCGGTCTCCATGGCGCGTGGCTTAGCTACCTTACCCTAAGGATCAGTCCCTAGTACTTCCAGCGTTCGTGGCGGCACCAACTTACTGGATTCCCTCCTCTCGTTTTATCTCCTTGTTGTCGTCGTCGTCGTCGGTCGTACTCGTTAGTCGTCTCGAAGCTCCCCAAAACCTATAAGCAGCACAGCTACTTCCATGCCACCGTAGGCCACTGTATCACTGCTGCCCTTCTTATCACTGCTGCCCCAAATGTGGATGTCAAACCTGTCTGTCCCCCCCAGGCGTTTTGGGGAGTACCTCTCACATCCATTCCCCCCGCGAATGCACGATTGCGACTGACATTTGCTCAGGACAAGAGGCATGCCCGAGCCCAGCCTCGACAAGATCCCACAACCTGCTCCTCCTCCTCCTCCTGCTCCTCGTCCCTCCTCCCCACTGCCCTTTCCCTCCCGATCCTCCTCCTTCTCGGCGACAAGCTACGAGCGACGACGAGCGACGACGACGACCGACAACTTCGGGCAGCCTTCGAACAAGGATCAGACACGCCCGACAACTTAGATCTTCGATCCCTTCGAAATCCTCGAACCTCGAACGACGACGACGACGATGACAATTTCGGAGCGCCTCCAACAACTGATCAGAAACGCCCGAAAACCTATACCCTCGATGATCGAACCCTTCTGGATCCTGGATCCTCGAACCTCCTGGATCCTTGATCCTCCTCGATCCTCGAACACTCCTCGATCCTCGAACACTCCTCGAACCCTCCTCGTTCCTCAAACCATCCTCGCTCCTCGAAACCTCTTCGATCGCACCCCTCGAGCCTCGATCCTCGAACTACTGCCAGGGAGCTCTGGCGGAGAGCGAACGTGGGTCGCCACCCCGTTGCCCCCCAGACACCCGGGCCATGCCTCGGGCAACCCGGCGGCCGCTCGGGACGATCCAAGCGACGCGGGGAGCGTGCTCGGCGAGGCGCAGCTGCCAGAGAGCACCCCGCGGCGGGGAAGCCGCCGAGGGCAGACGCAGACGCTCGAAGGTCTCGAGCCTCGAACCCCCCCCCCCCCCCCCGAGCCTGCCCCCAGGCGCGCGGGGTGGGATAGGGGGGGGGGGCGGAGGCGCGGGCTCCCGTGGGCGGGCCTCGTGGCGAGCCCGCTCCTGGTAGAGCTTCAGGCACTTCAGCCTCCTGGGCTGGCACGCGGGAGGAGGAGGAGGGGGGGGGAAGGGGGGGGGGAGGGGAGGGGGGGAGGAGTAGGGGGGGGAAGAGGGGGGGTCAGGAGCGGGCCGAGAAGGAGACGGGAGGAGGTGCAGCTTCTGAACCCGTGCCTCCTAGCCGGCCAGCGGGGGGATTGGAGGTGAGGGAATGGCCATGAACTAAAGGGGTCCAGAAGGACGCGGGCCTTGGAAATCTGTTGCCGTCTTCGTGTTCGCGGGGCCCTTCCCAGGGCCTCGATGTGTCCTGAGGATTCCTGGTCCGAGCTGATGCCGCTTTGAAGCCACCCTCTCAGTCAGGGCATCAATGTTCCCCTGACGCGAGTTCTGCAATGTCCTCTTGGAACCCTGGCCCACGCCGAGGCCATGTTGAGGCCCTCAAGCCAGGGCATGAACATCTCCCAGGCCAGAGCCCCGCACCGCCATCCTTCGCCTGGTCAAGCGCAGACACCATCCCTGCGAACCGAACAAAAGCACATCAGCGGCAAGTTACACTTGGGCCAGAGCTCGCGACAGTGTAACAACAAGGAAAATGGCAAACGCTAACGGTGATGACGAATCGGCGGTGGGCCCTCATCGACGTTCCGACATATTCGCGGCGAGGCGATGCGGGATTTTGGACTTTGCGGGACCTCTGCGCAACGGTGCGGCACGCGGAGCACTTTCTTTCCACGCTGGACTTTCGCGATGCCCTGCTTTGGCCATGGCATACCGTTCCGCGGCGATGATCCCAGGGTCCCAGCCCCGAGCGCACTGGCCCTGTCGGCCAAGATTCCAAAGGGGTGCGGAGAGGCTGCGATTGCGCCCGGAGATCTCCCAGCAGAGGTCTCTCCTCGCGCGCGCGGGGGCTCGCCCGCACCCCTCAGAAATCGCCACGAATCATTGCGCGGGCGCATAGCCCCCCTCGTGCCCGGCAGTCACCGCAGAAATCCCACCAGCCCCCAGACCTGGACGGGGCGCCCCGCGAGCTGTCAGAGCATCTAAGATGGCCCAAGACGGCTCCAAGAGGGCCTCAAAAAGCCCAAGATGACTTCCAAGACGGCCCAAGATAGCCCAGGATGGCTCAACATAGCTCCCAAGATGCTCCACGAAGCCCCAAGACCGCTCCAAGACGGCTCCAAGTGGCCACGGAGCCTCCCCAGGAGGCCGCCAAGGGGCCAAAGTCATTAAAAAACCAAGGAACATCAATGTGTTGTGCCTTCTCGCCTTTTTGCTTCCAATGGCCTTCCAAGAGTCCAAGGGGCCCCAATTGAGGCCCAAGAGAGCCCCAAAACGGCCCCAAGAGCGCCCAAGCGCTCCAAGAGCGGCCCAAGAGGGGTCCAAGAGGCGATGTTTGGGGCTCCCGAGGGGGGAACGTAATTGGAGCTCCCATCATTTTTGATCGATCTCCTCCAAGATGGCCCCAGGAGCGCTCCCAAGGCTCCCAAGGTTCCCAAGAGCGCCTCAAAAAGGCTCCGAGAGGTGCCCAGGAGGCCCCAAGAAGCACCCAAGAGGCCTCCAAGAGGCTCCCAAGAGACCCCCAAGAGGCCCCAAGAGGCTCCCCGAGGCACCCAAGACGCTCCTATAGGCCCCTGGGACCGCCAAGAGGCCCCCAAGACGCTCCAAGAGGCTTCCAAAAAGCTTCTAAGAGACATCCGGGGAGACTCTGAGAGGCAACTCGCCTGGGCATCGTTTCTGGATGGGCTGGTGGGGATATTTTTTACAGCCGCATGCGGAAGCGCCAGCGGCGGAAGGTCGCGAACGGGCCGCGGACGCGACTAAATTGCCTAACGCGCGCAGGGCCGCGGATCAGGCGGCTCACGACAGCGTCCAGGGGGGCGAAGCCGATGCAATCCAGGTGCCATGACAGCCCCTGAACGGGCATGCAGGTGCGTCCACCAGGCCTGAGGTAGGCACCGGGACGACCTAGCGCAGCCAAAATGGCGCGATAACGTTCCAACGTCCAGGTGCGGACAAGAGAACGACTCGAGGACGTCAGCCCCAGCCTGTCGGGTAGCACAGAAGACGGGGTGGTAAGTCCAACGAGGATCCCGACGGCGGCAGCGAGCCGCGGCGCCAGAACGACATCAAGGTGTATACATATTCCGAGAAGACTACCACACCGAGATGTTTCGGCCCAGACCCAGCGGGTGGAAGGGCACCTGATGCACGCTACCCGTCAAAACGCGGCGTTTTCACACCACAGTGTCACAGTGCAGTCCAGAACGAGACGGAGAGCACACGCGGAACGAGACCGTGTATACCCAGGCAAGTCCCACAAAGCCACTGATCCAGGGTCGCGGTAGGAAGCCGTCCAGCAATGAGAGTACCAGAGGGCACCGATCCATGGAGCCTGAAGGGTACCACAGGCTGACTGGGAACAAGGACCAACGGAAAAAGCTGGCTGATGGGGATACGCGAAACCTCAAGAATTGAAAACTTAGTCGGAAAACGGCTGAGGGGTAGACCCCAGGGTCCAGGACCCGGTTGCCCTCAGGACCCGTCGTCTACGACCTACAAGGATCCCGATCAGATCTCCCCAAAACCCAAAGCGAGGCCATGAGATCCGCAAGACGGCCCCAAGAGGTGCCCAAGACGGCTCAGAGAGGCTCCCAAGACAGCCCAAGAGCGCCTTGGGACGGCCCGAAGGAGCCCCAAGATAGCCCGAGAGAGCCCCAGGAGGCCCCCAAGAAGGCCACCAAAGCCCGAGACAGCCCCAGGACGGCGCCAGAGGGCCCCTTTCGTGTGTTCAAACAATGGTTCCCCAACAACTGAGACAACACGCGCTCCTGGCGTGGCCGCATTTTCACCCGACATTTCGCAAGGGGCAGCGGTGATTCGTTGGAGGCGTCTTCAACAGTCGAGTTTGTAGATGGGGGCGATCAAGAGCGAGCAGAAAGGAAACTAGATGGACGGACGCGAGGAATGAGAGGAAATGGATGAAGAGGAGACGGGAGGAAGGAATGTACAACACATGATGATTCCTGCTTTCCTTTCTTCCTTCGTTCCATCCTTGCCAAAAAGAGCACCGAAGGAGGCTTGAAAGAAAGGGGAGGGGGGGAGAAGTCAGGAGGCGAGGGAGGAGGTGAGCATCTTCCTTGATCCAAGAGGCCAGACGCCGCGACATAATGCGCTTCGAAAGGCGGCACGGCGTCCACCATAGGGGGCGTATTCGTGCACAGCGGGGCGCAGCCTGGGAACGTGGCCCGCACCCAACAAAAACTGGCTCACCCGAAATCCGTAAACTTCATGGCCCAATCCTCCTCCCATCGTGCACCCTTCTTCGAGCTCGACTTCCTCCAGCTCATCCGACTTCTCCTCCTCCTCGTCCTCCTGTTAGGCCCGAGCGCGGCGACCCCCCATTTAAACTCCCGTCTGGGTCCGCTACCAATGTAGCGACGAGGCGGGGCGATTGCCTCCTGTGGCCACTGCATACAGTCCGTATACACTACCAGTGTTCGGAGCCAGCGCGTTGGCCGCCTACGGCTGACCGCGCCTGCCGCCATTCCAGGATTGCGGCGGGAGAATCTGCACCCTGCCTGGCACCGTCGCCAGCGGGAGGCGCGAGCGCAGGCTCGTGTCATTGCAAGGTTGCCTGATTCGACGTTTATACAAGTACGACAGCTTATCCATCAGCATCATTCGATGTCCTCCAAGTCTCAGTTCTGTGCTTCGTGTGCCACATCCAACTACATTGGGCGGTCGACCTGCAGGGGTTGCGGTGTCCCTCGCACGGAGTATGGCTCAGCAGCTGTCACAGATCCGCGGGTCAAAAACAACCAGGCTCGTCCTTCGTCCCGAGGCCCCCGTGGCCGGGACAGGAGCAAGGGAAGCAACGGACGGGAATCAGACACGGCGGCAGCACCCGCCGACGTGGAGGAGAGGCCCGCCGCTACGAGGCGCCCCCCACGTACGAGGTCACAGTCTGTTACATTGGCCGACGAGGAGGAGGAGGGATCCAGGGACGAGAATCAGAGGCCTTTGAGTATCATCCCTGCTGTCCCCTCAGAGGCACGACTGCGTCCCCACTTCCCAGGCGAGCTCGACGGCGCGGCTACCGCCAAGGAGCGCAATGTTTCATTATTGATGTCCGCCATCAATTTCGAATTCTTGCTGGCAGTATCAGGCTCAAGGAGAAGGCCTGGGAAATGGCACACGAAGAGCGCCCTTGGTATCTCTGTCGCCTGCTCAAAGATCAATTGTCTCGTCAGGACTCGGTGCCTCAGCGCTCAGAGTCGCGCCCGCAGGAAATTGACGACAACATAGCGCGAATGAAGCAGTATCTGAGCGACCTGCAGGACAACCGAGATTTGGCGGTATACTGGGTTCAGCGGCATCAGGTGGCGTTGGATGAGCTACGGGCTATGCCGCAGCCCATTGAAGAGGTTCTGGGGGTAGCAACGCCAGTCACTCCTGTTGGTTCGGCAGCTCCTGCCTCTCCCAGAGCCCAGTTGCCAGTTGGCCCTCAGCGCCTACAGCCACCTGCAGAGGGCTCTCAGCAGCAGCCCCTGTCCGACATGGCCATGATAAAGCGCCAGCTGGCACAACTTACGACGACGTTGCGCACCTGCCAGACGCGCATCGATGCGAATGTGAACGCCATTGGAACTCAGGCCACGGCGGTCAACAACAAGCACGCGGCACTGGCGACGGCCTTGCGCGGCGGCACTCCGCCCACCGAGGCGGCCGAGAGGGCTCGGGCAGCGGCTGGCGAGGCTACCTCGTCGGCGGCAGCTGCCGCCCCTCCTCGCGCGGTTCGCCGGCAGACTGTGGCGACGCCGAAGCGAGGGCTGCGCGGGCTCCCCCGACCCGGAACCAGCTGGACGTCGAGAGGCGCGCAGCCCATCTCTACGGCGACTGGCGAGGCATCGGCGGAGGCTTCGGCTGCGGCCTCGCCGGCCGGAGTGGGCGACTTCGACGATCTTGTACTTCGCGAGGGCTACGAGCCTCCGGGGTAGCGACAGATGCAGACGCGATCGGTCATGACTCCACTGA